TATTGTATCCAATCTTTCTCAGTTTGAGTGATCATAAACTTTTTATAGTCATTATCACGCGTCAGTTTAGAGTCTAACAATATTTGTGAAAACCAGAGTGTTGGCTTTTTCATTTGATATACCACTACAATGTGTGCGTCTCTCATGCAGTTCTCCTTACAATCCATAATTTTTGAGAAGTATGTGTCAACATCGTTTAAAAGTTCAGTGATATTGACTTGTAAGAGTGACTCTCGTAACGTTTCAAAGTCAATTATTGTGATTTATCTTGATTCTCTCTCATTAAACATATTTTCCACCTTGAAACATATCCACGAATGGTCGCTTATTTTTGGAGTATGTAAAACCTTAATACTCAAATTCTGTTCATTTGTTATTATTAAATCGATCTTAGTTTGTAATCCTTGTGTAGTCATTAACTTTTTGCCATAGACCATGAAAGTTCAGTACCTGTTTAAATTTTTTTACATAAAAATCTTGATTTACTGAAGTCACCCAAGTGCACAGTGGAGCAATTTCGATAATACCGTTTTTCACAAACACTCTCAAAAAAGTCAAAAAATCGGCTAATATTACAGCTTGGAGATCTGTGGTAAACGTGTACATTGTAATTTTGTTTCATCTTGATTTCAAAATTAATATACGATATATACCTATGTCGAGAAATACGTATTGTTCAATTCTGAACTTTCCTACTTATTTCTCAACATGACTTAATATACAGGGTTAATTTTGATTTCTAGGGAGACGTCTTTTCATCTATAACTGTATAATACAGGCTGATCCAAAAATAAGATATTTTATTAAACTTTAGATGGAAACCCCCAGTTTTTTTTAATTTTTAGTTTTTCCATGAAGTTCTTAGTAACTGTGTATAATAAAGATTATCACTATCTTCAATCGTCTAGCTTGACTTTATACTGATAATAATGTAAGGCAAACAATTATAATCATGGATACCAGCAGGGACACGTAGCACTTGAGAACATCCAAAGCACTCGTGGACTGGATACTTCTTAAGGATTTACACGATCACCTATACAAAGAATTTTGAAATACAATAAATTTCACCCGTACAAGATAAAGCTTGTCCATGAGCTTAATGAACACGATTTTTATAGAACATAGAAGGTTGTAGTTATGCAAATTAATGTCCCAACGTCTAATCGACAATGCAAATCTGATATATATATATATATATATATATATATATACGTATATATATATATATATATATATACAGGGTGGCCAAACACGTGACGTCATAAAAAAAAAATTAGATTCTCCACATCGAGAGGAACCCAAATCACCCCCATATATATGGTCCGATTTTGTTTAGTTTAGGAGTTATGATTTTTTTTCGGATTTTTCGAGAATTTTTGAGTTCTGTGTTTATTTTTACCATAACTTCGTTAATAATTGTGATAAATGCCTGCTTTTTTCACGATTATGTAGCTAAGACCTAAGGCTTAACTATCATATAATCATTCAAGTCATGTAACTAATACTACTTTTTAATTTTTTTCAAAATCTTCGAACATAACAAAAAAGTAAAAAAGTGCAACAACTTTGAACGTTTATAAAAAATTGAAAAAACATGTTCTTACTATTCGTAAGTATCTTAAAAACTTCCTTACGGTATCAGCTATTTACCGTAAAAATTTCATCAACCTAGCTTTACTACATGCTACCGTAATTGTGGCTCAAATAGAACCGAACCCAAAATTGGATAACCCTCTGCTCAATAGAAATTGTTAGTTTCGGAAAAAAAATTTGCAAAAACCACAAAAACACGTTTGATTTTTACTGAACAGCAGATTATTATTCATTTATGTTATTTACAAGAGGTTTTCAAAATGTCTGCCTCTAACAGAAATGCACAGTGTACACCTACGTATGAAATTTTGTTTTAAATCTCTAAATGCTTGTGTGTTGTTTTTCAACACATGTGTCGCTTCTTGAATTTTGTTCCTCAATGAATTTTCATTTGCACATTCTTGGGCGAATGTTATGTCTTTAAAATATCCCCGAACAAAAAAATCAATGGGGTTGAGGTCAGGGGAGCGTGGAGGCCATCGTACCGGTCCGTTTCGTCCGATCCATCTGTCTGGGAACCTTTCGCTTAAGTAGTTTCGCACGATCGTTGCGTTGTGGCATGGTGCACCATCATTCTGGAACACCATGTTCCGTCTGGCTTCCAGGCTTGAATCTTCCAGCAATAATGGTAGGCTATTTTCAAGGAAGCTTTTGTAGGCTACCGAATCCAACCTTGACGGCAGTTCAAATGGACCGATAAATTCCATATTGAATATTCCTGACCACATGTTCACACTAAAACGGTGTTGAAATGTCGACGGCCTTGACTGGTGGGGGTTTTCAACAGCCCAAGTATGTAAATTATGGATATTGAATATCCCTGTTCTTTCAAAACGTGACTCGTCAGTCCATAAAATTTTATCAAAAAAATCGGGATCCTCTCGTTGTCTTCGCAGCATTGTCTCGCAACCAACAGAGGACACGTCATCACCACAGACCAGCCACGTCATCTATGGCACAGGACACGTCAGCCGTTCTGGTATAAATAACCCCGAAAGGCTAAGTCACCTGCAGACGAAATAAGAGGCCATATCAGCCGAAACCTCGTGCTCTAAAAAATTGGATATTCCGGGACTCTGCTTTGCATACTGATTTGGACTTTGTTTGCTAAGAAGTTTGTGATGCATTATACGTTGCGTGAATATGCAGAAATGCATTATTATTATGGCGTTGCTCAAGGCAACGGCGCTTTAGCAGCTCAGCTGTACCGGGAACAACTTATACGCCGAGGCGGACCACAACCTGAGCATTACCCAGACCACCGTGTTTTTATTAACACACATAACACTTTCATGGCAGGCCGCATTCCAGGACGAGGAAGCAATAAAGGATATCCTACAGCTGATCCGGATCGCAGAGAAGTAGTACTTGAAGAAATTAGCCGGAATCCCTCAACGAGTACGAGATCTATGGCACAAAACCTTAGAATACCACGAACATCGATACAAAATATTCTTCATGAAGAAGGTTATCATGCCTATCATGTTCAAAGAGTTCAAGCGTTGATGCCTTCAGATTACCAGTTAAGAGTGGATTTCTGCGAGACAATGCTGCGAAGACAACGAGAGGATCCCGATTTTTTTGATATAATTTTATGGACTGACGAGTCACGTTTTGAAAGAACAGGGATATTCAATATCCATAATTTACATACCTGGGCTGTTGAAAACCCCCACCAGTCAAGGCCGTCGACATTTCAACACCGTTTTAGTGTGAACATGTGGTCAGGAATATTCAATATGGAATTTATCGGTCCATTTGAACTGCCGTCAAGGTTGGATTCGGTAGCCTACAAAAGCTTCCTTGAAAATAGCCTACCATTATTGCTGGAAGATTCAAGCCTGGAAGCCAGACGGAACATGGTGTTCCAGAATGATGGTGCACCATGCCACAACGCAACGATCGTGCGAAACTACTTAAACGAAAGGTTCCCAGACAGATGGATCGGACGAAACGGACCGATACGATGGCCTCCACGCTCCCCTGACCTCAACCCCATTGATTTTTTTGTTTGGGGATATTTTAAAGACATAACATTCGCCCAAGAATGTGCAAATGAAAATTCATTGAGGAGCAAAATTCAAGAAGCGACACATGTGTTGAAAAACAACACACAAGCATTTAGAGATTTAAAACAAAATTTCATACGTAGGTGTACACTGTGCATTTCTGTTAGAGGCAGACATTTTGAAAACCTCTTGTAAATAACATAAATGAATAACAATCTGCTGTTCAGTAAAAATCAAACGTGTTTTTGTGGTTTTTGCAAATTTTTTTTCCGAAACTAACAATTTCTATTGAGCAGAGGGTTATCCAATTTTGGGTTCGGTTCTATTTGAGCCACAATTACGGTAGCATGTAGTAAAGCTAGGTTGATGAAATTTTTACAGTAAATAGCTGATACTGTAAGGAAGTTTTTAAGATACTTACGAATAGTAAGAACTGTTTTTTCAATTTTTTATAAACGTTCAAAGTTGTTGCACTTTTTTACTTTTTTGTTATGTTCGAAGATTTTGAAAAAAATTAAAAAGTAGTATTAGTTACATGACTTGAATGATTACATGATAGTTAAGCCTTAGGTCTTAGCTACATAATCGTGAAAAAAGCAGGCATTTATCACAATTATTAACGAAGTTATGGTAAAAATAAACACAGAACTCAAAAATTCTCGAAAAATCCGAAAAAAAAATCATAACTCCTAAACTAAACAAAATCGGACCATATATATGGGGGTGATTTGGGTTCCTCTCGATGTGAAGAATCTAATTTTTTTTTATGACGTCACGTGTTTGGCCACCCTGTATATATGTACATACAGGGTGTCCCAGAAGTCGACGTCAAGCCAAAACCGGGTGATAGACAAAGTCATAACAGCTATCAGAAAAATATTTAAAAAAATTTTATGTATGTGTTTTGAAAATTATAGGTCTTTGAAAAATATATAGAAATTTCACACCCTACGGCTGTCTGTCAACTCCTGTTACTACAAATATTAACTTTTTTGGATTTTATTTTTACAATGTAATGATGAATAATGCATCTTCAAACTGGTGTCCCAACCTTACTGCTAACTTTTCTCGTTCAGGAAAAATTGCCACTTATTTCCCAACCAAGTATTCCAAAGTAAAACTTTGCTCAACTTTAACTGGCTGTCCTGGAAAAAATGTACTACGAGAGTTTGGCAAGTAACCTTAAAAGTTGGCGCATTTAATAAGGATTCCAAAATGGTATAACACTTAGAAGATTAGTCGTTAACTTATGCACAATTTTTATTTGAAGAAAAACTGATGAACATTTTTCAAAATTTCCTAATTAAACAGCGATTATGAAAACGCACAAGGACCATTAAGGCTAACTGTTTGCACAACAGTGGGCGTCAAAATGCTGCTGATGATGATTTACCTTTACAGCAAATGCTCAAACTGTTTTCCTTCAGCCGCAATACACGCTAGACATCTTCTTAAAAAAGATCGGGTTATTAAACGAGCGAATCAACGGTTATTAACAAACTCAGCTGCTTCCAATAGTCTTTGCCGTAACCCAGCTACATTTTGAATCGGCTTGAAATACACTTTTTCTTTTACAGGTCCCCAGTAAAAAAAATCTAACGGATTCAAATCTGGTGACCGGGCTGGCCACGGTATTGTACCAGACCGCCCTATCCATCTGCCTGGAAAGTTTTGATCGAGATACTCTCTCACTGAGAGTGCATAGTGCGCTGGGCAGCCATCATGCTGAAACCACATGTCCCTGTAAATACTCAGTGGCACGTCCTCCAATAAATTTTCTAAATGATTTTGCAAAAAACCTAAATAAACCTCAGCAGTCAATGTCTCTGGGAAGCCAAACGGACCGATTATTTTGTCATTTAAAATTCCTGTCCAATGGTTTATCTTGAAGCGATATTGAGATTTATCTTCTCTCATCAAATGTGGGTTTGCTACGTGCCACTCGTGTAAGTTATGCAGGTTCATGTACCCATCTTTCTTAAATGTAGTCTCATCTGACCATAAAATTTTTTCAAAGAACCGTGGATCTTCCCTGTGTCTTTCTAACGTTGTGCGACAAAAAGCAACTCGGGGCTCATAATCCCGGGGCAGAAGAGCTTGAACACGCTGTACGTGGTATGGATGGAGCACGTTTTTTTACAAGATTCTATGGGCTGTACTTTTAGGCACACCTGTTTTTAGTTCTATTGCACGCACTGAAGTACTCGGGTCTTCTTCGACAGCTCCTAGCACCACGTCTTCGTAAGGAAGGAAAGATCTTCCCTCACCGTGTGATTGGTTTGGTAGTTGGCCCTCTGAGAACAGTAAACGGTGCACATTTGTGAACATTCGATGATCTGGATGACGAGCTGCATTCGGGTACCACTCACAGTAAAGTCTCGCTGCAGCACTAGCGTTGCATCTGCATTCCCCATAAATGAGGTGCATGTTAGCATATTCTTGTACGGTGTACACGGACATAGCGGCACTGCACAATCACACTATCAAAGATAGTCTAAGGAAAGCAAATGTTGTTTTGAAGAGCAATTAAACAGTCCAAATCCAAATCACAAGCGATCAACAGTCGAGTTCACGAATCCAAAATTGGTAACAGTACGAAATCAACAAGCACGAACATGTAAAGATGCGCAGTAAACGAAGGTGTACTGATCGGTATCAAAGTGTGCAATAGAAAGTAAGTGATGTGCTTCATCCATACTACATACAGCGTGTTCAACCTCTCCTGCCACGGGATTATGAGCCCCGAGTTGCTTTTTGTCGTACAATGTTAGAAAGACACAGGAAAGATCCACAGTTCTTTGAAAAAAATTTATGGTCGGATGAGACCACATTTAAGAAAGATGGGTACATGAACCTGCATAACTTACACGAGTGGCACGTAGCAAACCCACATTTGATGAGAGAAGATACATCTCAATATCGCTTCAAGATAAACCATTGGACAGGAATTTTAAATGGTAAAATAATCGGTCCGTTTGAGTTCCCAGAGACTTTGACTGCTGAAATTTATTTGGATTTTTTGAAAAATCGTGTACAAATTTATTGGTGGACGTGCCACTGAGTATTTACAGGGACATGTGGTTTCAGCATGATGGCTGCCCAGCGCACTATGCACTCTCAGTGAGAGAGTATCTCGATCAAAACTTTCCAGGCAGATGGATAAGGCGGTCTGGTACAATACCGTGGCCAGCCCGATCACCTGATTTGAATCCTTTAGATTTTTTTACTGGGGAAATGTAAAAGGAAAAGTGTATTTCAAGCCGATTCAAAATGTAGCTGAGCTACGGCAAAGACTATTGGAAGCAGCTGAGTTTGTTAATAACCGTGGATTCGCTCGTTTAATAACCCGATCTTTTTTAAGAAGATGTCGAGCGTTTGAAGATGCATTATTCATCATTAGATTGTAAAAATAAAATCCAAAAAAAGTTAATATTTGTAGTAACAGGAGTTGACAGACTGCCGTAGGGTATGAAATTTCTATATCATTTTCAAAGACCTATAATTTTCAAAACACATACATAAAATTTTTTTAAATATTTTTCTGATAGCTGTTATGACTTTGCCTATCACCCGGTTTCGGCTTGACGTCGACTTCTGGGACACCCTGTATATACATATATATAGAATGGAGAATCTTAAACTTGAAACACAGAAAGTTTCCATTTGAAAGTCGTGTAACGCAATGTTTTATTTTTGGATCTCCTTGTACTGTACGGCTATAGATGAAAACGCTCACCCCTAGAAATCAAAATTCACGTGTCCAAGCACCTTTCCCAAAATATACCAGAAGAGATCACAACATTTTCGTTGGTCCACCTTGTATGTTTGTATCCGTACAATTCAAGTGCTTAGTTATTAAGGTTGACTTATCTTTCAGTTTTGGAAGAGCTCATGCAACAACTGAGCACGTATAGTGAAGAAGAGGTCGATAAAAATGTAGACTCTGATCAGGTAGCCAACTTCGAAGTACCATCGAAGAGTAGATGTGAGGCACTTGGAGGTCAGTGTGACTCTGATGGAAAGTTCTTGCCGTTGCAGTGCGAAAAGGATATTTGTTGGTGTGTCAACGAAGCTGGAAACCAGATTCCAAATACAAATACGTTTGTTATAGGAGAAAAGACATGTGGTAAGCAGAATAATAAATAATACCCACGCAGCACGAGAATTCACATTTATAAAAAGTCAAACATTCAATGAAAAAGTCGCTTATGCATTGCTATGCAACTGACGACCGTTTTTCCGCTGCTTAATCGCTTATCGATTTCTAATGTGAAGCTCAAGGTAATAATGCGACAAGACTGCACTTCCGTTACTGTTGGCTGCTGCAATTTTTTACTTTCCTCGCCAAGTGTAGATTATAATCAAAAAAGATTTTGAAGTTGAGATTTTATCTTTTTTGATGTTACATGACGAAAATTATGAAAACCATGTCACTCATTTCCGTCGGTGGGTCTGTTTGTCTGCCCGCTAGTCCATAATTCCTTTGTAACTTACTACTACGCCAAATAGGAAAAAGCTCTGTAGTTTCTGGAAATCGGTCCAGTGGCGGCTGAGCAAAAGGTGAAGAAGTAAAAATACTAAAATCGCTCAGACTCATTTTCAGAAAAGCTTTTGTATTGGTTAAAATTAGGGTTTGGGGGTTGTAAGGTGTGGAGAGAGTATGTCAGAAACAGAGCAATATCATCAAAGAGACAAGGTAGCATCGGTAACGTTGCCAAATGGTAGATCCTTTCGGTAGGGCAGGGGAGAAATTTGTAGATCGCAGCTTCATCTGTTCAGTGAGGAATATGGGCTCAGTATATGCTCTTGTTTGGATAACTTTCTTTATCTTTTTTGTTATACGTTTTTGCTGTATACACTGTTTTCCACAAGGCCTCCTTTATGCAGCGTTGCATGAGAAGTTCTGAGTCAACCTACTTGATGTCATTGTTTGCCTCTCTACTGCACAGCGCTTTCTGTTTTTGGGTAAATTCGCACGCAAAACACGATGTTCTATGTTTTACAGTATTTACACCAATTGAAGCAGCGGAAGTGACGTTAGGCTTCAAGGGACAGTTCGATGACGTCATGGCAGAAAAGATTGTCAGCCAGATGACGAAAATTATCAACAACCTACAGGGTAACATCAACAGTGAGGGATTGGAAATAGATGTGAATCGTGAGGAATTATATGTTAAGTTCTCGCTTATTGGCAGCAATAAGGTTGATGTTGGATATAAAATCGAACAAATGGTGAGTGAGATTTTATATTGTTTGTAAGAACCTTTTAAACCTGAAGATCCAAAACAACGTCTGTCAGTGTATCTTAGAGTAAAAAAGTTTGCTTCCACTACTATAAACTAGAAATGTATCCCATATCTGTAGTTCTCCAAACCTAAACAACTCCTTCAACTCTCCTTTGTCTCATAGTATACGAGGGATGTCTTTTAAGTTTTGCATATGGAAAAAGAACAACACGGTAGGTAGTTTCAAATGACTTTATTGTTTTTCGTATTAAGTGTTCTCCACGAAGATTAATACACATCTGCTTGCGCTCGAACCAATTTTCGAAGCACTTATTCCACTCGTTTGCTGGCAGATCCAAAACGGCATTTTTGAATGCGTCAACCGCTTCTTCTGGTGACTGGAACCTTTGACCACGCAGTCTGTTTTTAATTTTCGGGAAAGTAAATAAATCGTTAGGACTTAGATCGTGACTATATGGAGGATGGTCCAATAATTCCATGTTTTCTTCCGTTAAATACTGCCTTGTTTTTTGGGCTGTGTGCGAGCTTGCATTGCCTTGATGGAGGATGATTCTTCTTTCGGGGTTGATTTTTCGAAGCTCGGTGATGACTTTTGGCAAACAAATGGTGGTATACCAATCCGCAGTAACAGTTCTTCGCTCATTAAGAGGAATTGTTGCAATATGACCCGCTTTTGATACAAATGTCGCGACCACCTTTTTCGAAACACTTCGAGAACGGATGACTTTTGTTGGCTTTTCTTCACCTTGGAACACCCAAACAGCCAATTGTCGTTTATTTTCTGGTTCATAACAGTAAATCCACGATTCATCACCAACTGCAATGCTGTACACATTTTTTTAGTTTCCGGAATTGAATCGGTCAAGCGTTTTTTGACACCAATTAACCACGGCTGCTTTCTGCTCTTCAGTCAACAGGTGGGGTATCCAACGAGAAACTAATTTTCTTACTCCTAATTCTTCATGTAAATTTTTTTGAACTGAGGTCTTTGCAATCTTCAAGGACGCCCCAATCTCGCGATATGTCACATGTCTATCTTCAATGATGAGTTTGCGGCCAGCATCGAGGTTTTTCTGGGTGACTGCCGTTTGTGGTGCACCCACCCTGGGATAGTCGCTAAGACTCGCCCATCCACGTTTGCATTCTCCATACCAACGGGAAATTCTCGACTGATGTGGCGCTTCGTATTCGAAAACAGACAGTAACTCAGCAAGGCATTCTTGTTGCGATAATTGTCTCTGAAAGTTGTAATAAATTATGGAGCGAAAATGTTCTCGATTGAGTTCCGTTTTTCTAATGACTTGGTGATACTTAAAAATTCACTGCAGTGAGAACCCTGCACGTATTGTTGTGAAACTTCGAATTTAAGTTTACTAAAGAGTGAGGTTAAGATTCAGTACTGACGTTCGATCCGCGCGGCCTACTATGTTTCTATATGCAAAACTTAAAAGACATCCCTCGTAATATGGTAAAATTGCAACTAGGTGCTGAGCCACAGATCAATGTGTTATGTATGCTGCCGTCATAAGCCAGAAGATAGTATCTGCTGTTTTCACATCTTATAGTAACGGCGAGAACGAATTCTAGTGTTTTAAGGAAAAATAATACTTTTGGTGTGTACCCGGTTAAAATTGAAAAGATTTTCTAACGAATATATTAATTTTCTACAAACTTGGCTATCTATAAATAAAAAAATGATATATTGTTACTTCTGAATTAACTGAACTGCTGTCTCTTTAATTGATAACACGGTAAGTACTCCGCAATGTTGTTTATTTCACGTTCGGCTTATGTAATTGTTAGTGTGTGAAACCTATGAAAATGTGCTACACTATCCTAATAACAAATACACTAAATAATTAAAAATATTATGAATTCGGTGTGATTAAGTGTATCTTTAATATACTAAGTAACATATAAATCCGAACGCCCAGTTTAAATGGCTTTATTTTAATAAAAGTTTGTGAATGTATTTATCTTACTGTAAATAACAAGTGAAAAAATGTTCAGCCTTATGAGTTGGACATTCCGGTTTTTATACTGCTTTTTTTAATTCACTAACGCTCTAAAAATGAATATTTCAGCCGCAGTAAAGAATCAACGTTTGCGGATTTTGGTTCTTGACATCCTTTACGATCGGTTACGAGAGTACGGAGACCTGTACGATTTGTTCAACTTGTGAGTTTGACAGGGGCCGTATAGTGAGACTTCGGGAAGCTGGACTTTCTTTTCGGGCAATTGCAGTTAGAGTGCAAAGAAGTGTAGACACTGTGGTTAGGTGTTGTCAGGCATGGTTTCGAGAAGGCCGTACGCAAAGAGCGAGGGGCACTGGACGCCGCCGTAGAACAACAGACCGTGAAGATCGCCGCGTAAGATTATTGGCCTTAAGGGACCGTTTCTTCACTACCAGGTTCATTGCAAAGGAATGGTTTGCAGAACACGGAAGACCTATTGGCATGCGAAGTGTTTACCGACGAATGAGAAGTTTTGGCTTGTTTTCATACCGGCCACACTGGGTCCTCCCTTTAACTCGAGAACACCGACGTAATCGCCTTGAGTGGTGCAGACAACGGTCACTCTGGGATCAGGAATGGAACAGTATTGTCTTTAGTGACGAGTCTCGATTTTGTTTAGGCATGCACGATGGTCGTGCCAGGGTTAGACGGCGATGTGGTGAAAGGAGGAATCCACAGTTTTTTGTTGAAAGACATGTTCATCACACTGTTGGAGTTATGGTTTGGGGTGCTATAGCTTATATAGCGTTATATCCACGAAGTTCTAGAACCCCATCTTTTACCCTATCTTGACACCCTGGCAGATCCAACTTTCCAACAAGATAATGCCCGACCACATGTTGCAAGAGTCACAATAGACTTCTTTCAACATAATGATGTCACATTGTTACCACGGCCACCAAGATCTCTCGACTTATCCCCAATTGAGCACGTGTGGGATATGATGGGTAGGAGATTGCTCAATTTGCAACGTCCTCCTCAGACTCTAGAAGCACTTCGAGAGGAGTTGGTGGTTGCCTGGAATGAGATACCACAGGAGGACATTGACCACCTGATCAGAAGCATGCCTAGGCGCGTTGGAGAATGCGTAGCACATCAGGGTGCATTCGCACATTATTAAAGGTCAAAGGGCTTTAGAGCAGTGCAATCATTTTGAAATTTTTATCATTCACTTATTATGCTTCATTAAGTAATTATACAAAATTTTATTAAAATAAAACCATTTATACTGGGTGTTCGGATTTATATGTCACTTAGTATAGTACCTGCTTGCGCTATTGCTTTGGTTATACCTAAATCAAAACACAGTATCTGTGTGGTTTCCAAGCAAGAATGCATTATTTGCTGTGTTTTAATTTAATGATGTGCAGATACTGTATTGTAGTTTGAGATAATAGTGAAAATGCTGGATACTGTAAAAAATTCATATTTTTGGTATTTATTATGACATACAGGGTGATTCACAAGTCGTGATCAAAAATGAAACATCATACACAGGATCGCATTTTAAGGCTGGTCTTTTACGTGAAATTTTTTTTCGAGGGCTTCATTAGAGAGATACGGGGTGTTTAAAATAAAAAAAAATATATCTTCAAAACGGTCAACTGGAATGAACTAAAATTTGGTATGTCGATGCACCTAAGTATTGTCCACGTTCAAAAGTCTTTACTTAAAATTAACGTGCATCAGTGTGGAGATACACGGGACTAGGAGCATTATTTTTACAAATAAAAAAAGTTATTTTTACGAAAACAATGCACTCTAGGAAAAAACAAGAGTAATTATTTGTAGAAAATTGAAGGTGAAATACAAAAAATTTCGCGTGGCGTACTAGTTTTACTTGGAAAAATAATGCCACTAATCTCCTGTATCGAAGCCACTGGTGCACGTTTATTTCAAGTAAAGACTTTTGAATGTGGACAATACTTCTCCACATACCAAATGTTTGTTCATTCCAGTTAACGGTATTGAAGATATTAAAAAAAATGTTTTTCATTTTTAAACTTCAACACCCCGTACCTTTTTAATGAAGCCCTTGAGGAAAATATGTTACATAGGAGATCCCCTCTCAAAATCCCGTCTTGTGCATGTTGTTTAATTTCTGGTCATGACTTGTGAATTACCCTGTATAGTGTATTCCCTCATCGTTCTGGCTTAAGGCTTCAGTATGGATCGGAGGGGTTAGTTGCATATTTTAGGTGAATGTGAAGACGACAAACATTTTGTTGCAGATTATGAATCGTCTGCTACCTCCAGGTTTCTCCCCAGACATCAGCAGGTCCCGGGTGACATTCAGACAAAACAAAGAGGACAAGGATCGCTTGCAGGATAACGTGTTAGCCTTGGAGCATAGAGAAATAGTATCACAGTCGCCGGTGTCTGTGGTAGCACCATACCATACCGCCTTAATAGTCATTGCTGCTGCTTCGGCATTTGTCATTTGTGTTTTGACGCTTTTGATGGTGCTTTACAGGAGAAAGGTAGGTTCACTACGTTTCCATAACTTAATTTCTTTTTACGATAGACAAGCGGCACGTAATAGCATAATAACATTGCAAAAAGATTGCAAATTATTGTGATAAATTGCTATTTTATTTGTCAAATTGCGATTTTTTGGTAAACTGTATACTGCATGCGCTATCACTGATTTAGTGTGACCCTAGCTTTGCCGACCATATTGCTTTCTAGCTAATAGGTAGCATGAATCTATCGCATATCGATATCAGAATAGTAATGATAATATTAATGTTAATAAAAATGATGTATGTGCTTATATATCTTTTATTTTTTTTAATTAAAATTAAGCGTTTTTGGACCAAATCGGGATAATTGTCCAGATCAGTGGTCTTTCTATATGGAGGTTAATTGTCTAAAATAATAATAAATTCCTTTATTTGAGTTTTAAATCTCGATACTGATGTTATAGTATTTCTAAGATTCGGAGGTGGCATATTGTTTACTTTTGGTGCAAGATAAACAAAGTGCCATGAGTTTGATAAACATCAGTTTAATTTTGCCTGCATGGATAGTCTTTAATATAGATCGCACATCAAGAATGGAAGTTTGGGTGTATAAACAGGTTCATGGGATATGCTATGTTTTTCTCATATATTATTATTAAAATTCATCTTTGCACTACCTCAAGGTCTCTTAAATGTGTGTTGGTTACTCCACTACACACGAAAACAAGTAGTTTAGATTAGTGACACATTCAGTAATGAAAATACAGTTGAGTACGGATTACTTCAGGGTACTGTGTTGGGTCCAATCTTGTTTACAATTTACATAAACAGCATTCTAACTTCTTCGTCAGCAAGTGTTTAGCTTTGCAGATGATACGGCAGTCCTGTATGATGATAACACTTGGGAAAATGTAAAAATTAAAGCAGAGCGGGATCCAGGAACTATTTTTGATTATTTTGCCCTTAAACTTTTAACCGTGAGCTATGAGAAAACATTCTTTATGCCTTTTTCTAATACAGTACGTTGTCTACCTCAGTATGAACAACTTTTAGTAAATCAAAGTATATCTTTAACATGTGTAAAAACCTATAAATACTTAGGTGTCACCATTGATCGTCACTTGAGATGGGTTGTTCATATAACTAACATTACAAACACCTTACGACAACTCTTATATCGCTTTAAATACTTAAAACATCTCATAGACTACATGCACCTGAAAATGTTGTATTATTCATTAGTTGAATCACGTCTACTATACGCTATTTTGAGTTGGGGAAGTGCCGCATATTGTCATTTGCAGCCTCTGGATATACTGTTCAAAGTAATATTTGACAAAAAAGACTGGAGTGTTTGACTTAAGGTAACTTCTGCATGAATTAATTCAATTCATATACAAACACATAAACAACTTCAATAAAACTAGCCATGCTTATAGCACTAGATATAAAGAAAATGAAAACTTAAAAATACAAACTTTTAAAAGGAACGTGAGCTTGCGATGCCACACCTACCTGTCATGTAAAATTTATAATTGTTTGCCATACATGTACTTACCGTATGTATGTTCATAAAATAAACTCATTGTCTTTGATAAAATCTTTATTTAAAAAATATATTTTTTTGATTGGTAGGCAAGAGATACGAAATCTAGTAGAAATGATTTACTAGAAATCGTACTACGCTAGTATTACTCCTCCTCACCATCCATAAGCGTTACTCCTCCTTACCTTCCATACTTACAATGTGCTTGTTGTATAAAATTCCTGCTCTAAGCAAAATTTATTATCAAAATTATATCAAAAAAAATATATGCCCGTGCGCAACCAACGATTTTGGTTTCAATGAGCTTTACAAGACAATTTAAAAATTTTCTGTGACATAAAATATGTTAACTTAAGATTATTTTGTGAAAGTCAGGTATTATGTTTTATTTTACGTTTATTATTGTACTGAAGTCAGCATTTGTATTTAAAC